AAGAGGACATCTGTAATACTTTCAACAATAAAGAAGGGGGAAAAACTCACAAAAAACCAAGGTTCTCGGCCCGGCCGGGCATGGCTCAGTGGTTGAGCGTCAACCTAGGATCCAGGTGATTGGGGTTCGATTCCCGGTCAGGGCACATGCCCGGGTTGTGGGCTCGATCCCCAGTTGGGGGCGTGCAGAAGGTAGCTGATCAATGACTCTCTCATCATTGATGTTTGTATCTCTCTCGCCCTTCCTCTCTCTGAAATCAATAAAGATATATTTAAAAAACAGAAAACAAAAACCAAGGTTCTCGGCTGTGGCTGCAAGTAAGTATCACCTATGGATATTTTACAATGTGCACACTTGGAGCCCTGTTCCAGAACTACTGAATCAGAATCTCTTGAGACTTAGGCATGCCTATTTTTATAAAGCATCCCGGGGATTCTGATGTTCACCTTGCATTGAAAACAATTCTCTAAATTTTTCTCTAATCCTCCAGCTTATTTCTACCATCACTGCTTTGGTTTAGGCTTTTAGAGTTTCCTATAGCTATCACAACAAATTACCACTAACATGATGGCTTAAAATAATGATTTATTCTCTCACTGTTCTGGAGGCCTCAAGTATGGAACCCCGATGTTGGCGGGACCATGCTGCCTCTCTGGTGGCCTCAGGGCAGGAGCTTTCCTAGCCTCCTGCTTCATATGGCTCCAGGCATTCTTTGGCTTGTGATTGCCAACTCCAGTCTCTCCCTTCATCTTCGCACAGTTATCGTCTCTCTCCCTGTGTGTCTCTCTACCATGTGTCTGTTATAAAGACATTTGTCTTTGGATTTAGGGCCCACCAGTAATCCAGGATGATCTCATTTTGCAATATTTATTTTAACTACACCTGTAAAGACATTTTTTCCAAATAAGGTCACATTCACAGTCTGGGACATGGACATATCTTTTTGGAGGCTACTCTTCAAACTACTGTATTCCTCCTGTGGTTATGATAGCTGTCCCCACCTGATCATCTTGACTCGAATCCAAATGACCATCCTGCACTGGGCTGCAGCTACTTTATATAGCAGGTCTTTGAATACTGTCCTTTTGTTCAACATCGTCATTTAGTTATAACATTGATAAGATACCATAGGAACTTAACTCTTGTTTATATTAATTAGCTTATAGTAAAATTGGTTTCATTGTGCTTCATTTTGCTTAAAGTTGCAGAACCTCCGGGCCGGGTATGNAGGTGTTAGTTTTCTGAATGTTTCGTAAAATTCACCTGTGAAGCCATTCGGTCCAGGGCTTTTGTTTTTTGGGAGTTTTTTATTACTGCTTCAATTTCATTGGTTGTAATTGGTCTATTCAGGTTTTCTGATTCTTCCTGATTCAAGTTTAAAGACTGTATGCTCCTGCCCGGCTGACGTGTCTCATCGGCTGGGCATCAACCTGTGATCCAGGGGCCTGTGGTTCGATTCAGGTCAGGCCACATCCCCAGCAGGGGGCATGCAGCAGGCAGCCGATCAATGACTCTCTCTCATCATTAATGTGTCTATCTCTCTCTCCCTCTCCCTTCCTCTCTCCAAAATCAATAAAAAGATATTTAAAAGAGAAAAAAAAAAAAGAGGTTGTATGCTCTTAGAATTTATCCATTCCGCCCTGGTGGTCCAGTTTGTTGACATATCGTTGTTCATAGTATTTTCTTACAATCCATTGTATTTCCGTGTTGTCAGTTGTTACTTTTCTTTTATTTCAGATTTTTTTTATTTATGTCCTTTCTCTTTTTTTCTTGATGAGTCTGGTTAAAGATTTGTCAATCTTGTTTATCTTTTCAAAGAACCAGCTCTTGATTTCACCGATATTTGTATTGTATTTTTAGTCTCTATGTTATTTATTTTCACTCCAATCTTTATTATTTCCTTTCTTCTACTTATTCTGGGCTTTGTTTGTTGTTCTTTTTCTAGTTCTTTTAGGTGTAGGGTAAGATTGTTTATTTGAGATTTTTTTTTTTTTTTGCTTCTTGAGGAACCCCTCCACCTGGGATCCACCCTCGCCCCCCTCCCTAGGCCTTCTCCACACTATTGTCTGTGTCCTTGCATATAAGTTCTTAGGTTAATCCTTCCCCAACCCCTCCCATGCCCGTCTTTCCTCTGGGATTCCTCAGTCTATTCCATGCTTCTGTGACTCTGGATCTATTTTGTTCATAAGTTTATTTTGTTCATTATATTCCATATATGAGTGAGATCATGGCTTTACCTGACTGGCTTATTTCACATAGCATAATATCCTCCGGGTCCATCCATGATGTCCCAAAGCTGATCCTTTTTTTTACAGCTGTGTAGTATTCCATGGTATAAATGTCCCACAGTTTTATCCTCTCATCTACTGATGGGCACTTGGGCTGTTTCCAAATCTTAGCTAATGTAAACTGTGCTGCTCTGAGCATAGGGGTACATAAATTCTTTCTGATTGGTGTTTCAGGTTTCTTAGAATATATTCCTAGAAGTGGGATCAGTGCGTCAAATGGCAGTTCCATATTTAATTTTTTGAGGACCTTGGTTTTAATGGCAAAAATCAATAGTACTTGGTGATCTGTTTAGCTATACAGAGCAAGGAGCAAGGGACAGAGAAAGGGAATGTCATATAGGCTCTGGCCTCGGCCAGGGTGATAGCATTATTAAAAAGAGGAATGGGAATTACAGGGACATCCAGGGGAAGACATGTAGGAGGGAACAAAAGTTACAGACTTGGGTGCTTGCACCATACAAGTAGCAGTTAAAACCATGAGAGCAGATGAGGTTACTTGAGAAAAAGATACAAAATAAAGAAGTAAAGAAGATAAGGACAGATCCTGGGAAAACCACCATTTAAAGAAATAACCCCTTCTTAGTCACAGGAAGAAGGAGAAGGACCAGAGAAAGTTGTATCACCAAAGACAAGAGGGAATTTCAACAGTTTTAATACATTAGTAGAACAAAAATACACAAATATGATTTGGAAAAGGTCAGGAAATTGGTCACCTTACCCATCTTCAAAGCACAGAAGCAAAGCTAAAAATTAGCCAACCTGTCCTGGTAGGACAGTTGGTTGGACAGTTGGTTGGAGTGTGGTCCCCGTACACCAAAATGTTGTGGGTTCGATCCCCGGTAAGGGCACATACCCAGATTGGGTTCGATTCCTGGTCGGGGCATGTATGGGAGGCAAATGATTGAT